CTAGCTCAGATGTGTCAGACTCACTTATCATACAACAAGGCTTCTGTAGAACTTCAGAAAATGCTTGATCCCAGATTTCTTGGGGTCCGTTATGCAATAAGGTAAATGGTCTGCTCCTACGCAGTGCTGTTCCAACTTGGCAGTACCCATAGGCGTATTTCAGCACACCAGTGGTGATGCCATACAAGGCGCTCACCTCCTGCTTTGGGATCAGTATCTTTACAAAGGGGTCTCTGGCAATGGGGGGACCAGATCGAACTGCCAACCCTGATATTAATCCACAACACCTGAGCCTCAGCTGCCTGTGTGTGTTATTCATGTGTGCACAGAGCAGCACATCACTGAAGTCTTTGTGTATAAAATTGCACCTTCTGCAAGTCACTTTAAGTATCGTTGTATTGCCTTTGTTTTATTTCCAGATCACTTTTCTTACAGTTTTATTGTGTTTATACAGTATTCGTTATCAAAGCCCATCTGAGAATAAACATAGCAAACCAATTATACGTGGTATTTTTTTCTGCTCAATACTTCAGCGCACATGAAAATAAAACTGGAACAAAGCTGAGTGAAACATCTTTCTTAAAAAACAAGCAAAATGTATTTCTTGCAACAGCAAACAGAAAAGAGAATGCATTTTACAGGATGTGCACTAACGCCTTGGCTTTCTCTGAATAAGTGGTTTAATCTTGTTCCTCTCATAACCTTTTCTTTACAACATAATGTGAAGTTTCGAGTCTGTATTGCTATTACAACAAATTCACTTTACTTTCCAAAGTAAATCTTGTACCCCAGCTATTTGCAGAATAAACTGCAGCAAAAGGCAAGGAGGTAAAAAAAACAGCACAGAATGTCAACACTACAACCTCATCATCACACTGATATGTAGGTTGAGCGGGACATACCTCCAGCAGCCCGTCTCGCTCGTATGAGAGGCTGCTGGAAGATTTGGACCGTCTCGAACGGTAGGTGTTACAGGCGGCAGACACCCTGAGGCTCACACCGCGCTACGAGGAAAAACATGGTGTTCTGGCACCTGTTGATGTCCTGATCACCACAAGTGAGCTATCAGCCCAAGGGAAGGAGAAGCAAAAGAGAGAGTGGAGAAAAAAAAGAAAGTAGATGGAAAAAAAAGGACTCCCTGGTGCTTCTCTTTAATGTGGAGACAGACTGAAAAGTTGGAACACGGCATGAGATTCTACATTCATCTCGCCAACATAGTCTGAAATTCTGACTGACATTATTCAAATTTCTCCACATGAAACCCAAGTGGAGCTCTTCATCCAGTCTTTGTGCAGCAGAACCATAAAGAATTACTGAGAGGATGCAAAATGAGCAAGGACAGGTACCGGGGTCTGAACAGCACTGTGGAAACATCATTAGAGAATCGATACTTTTGTAAGCATCTAACGACAATGCCTAATTTTTTACTGTAATTTAGTACCAACACAACATAGTCGCGAACGGGCCCACATCAAAGATTTATATACTGTCTGCATATACGCATCAGCAGCCCAAACCAAAATCTTTGTGACCTCATTTTTAAGATAACTGGAGAGAAGAAGCATCGGTATTTTTTCCTAACATTTAAAGGCATCCAAGAAAAAATCCCAACAGGAAGCAGACATTTCTTTTTGGCTTTGAGAGCGAGCCCTGCAGTGCAGAAATTCATGTAGTGTATTAAGGCGAACATGAAGGCACAATACCTGCAGCACTTTGCTCCATAAATGCATCCATTCAGTGTAACTATAAACTCAAATTTCTGCTGCCTTACAAAAAACAACAAGCAACATGATTGAACTCATAAGCTAGAATACGACTGCATGAATATAAACATGAGATAGCCATGGGCAAGAAATATGCAAAGGAAGAAAGAAAAAATCAAGAGCTTCACAGCGCAATCTAGCACAGGGTAACTTCTAACAAGTTCAGGTAATAAAGAACTGTGGGAGGGAGCCAGCATTTAAACTAAAGTTTGCACACATCAAGGCCCATGCATATTTTGCATATCTGTGAAATGAACATGAACATGTGTGTGGCTCCTCACCACGTTTAGTTAAAAAAAATATCTGAGTTATGATATGACCTGCTGAGTGGTACAAACCAGATCCAAGACGTTCGTGCTCTAGTTTTACTGAGCAAAGTTCTGCTTTATTGCTGTGTTACCTCTGTTACTTAGAACTAAGTAGCAGCTATTTGTGGATGGACCCAACTTTTATGGAATTGGGGTTGTGCAGCTCCCAATTTCTAACTTTGCTTTTACTCTTTAGTCCAAAACGCTGATCCCAAATTAACCCATTAGCTAAATGATTAATGTCAAATCCTCTCCTTATAGAAACAGTCAAAATGATTTGACAGTTCACCCACAGACACACCCTCACACACAAAACTGGCCGGGTAGCTGACATAGTGTGACATCTCGCTCTGTCACCTGAGCAGCACTGATGATGATCATGATTACATGTCTTTGGGTAAATGCAATAAAATTTAAGATAAATGTGTGTAAGATTTACTGGCATCTACAGATGACCTCACCTTCTCCCGTCCTTACAAACAGGTAGGTGAATCAGTGGTATAGAGCAATGTTAGGCTAGTCTGTTTTGGACATAGCGAACTCTTCTTCATGGTGGAAAAGGAGCCACTCCTTCTGCAGATATAAAGATACAAACATATTTATAGATTCCTGATCGTAAACTGTTGACCTTTAGAGTTAATTCAACAGAGGCACATCTCTGATTTCAATATGTTTTACACAAATTCAAAGCATTTCTGATTCCGTGCTCTGGAGGTACGGATGTCACCTCGCCTGCTGCTTTACCCTCCCTTTGGATTCAGGCTGCAGCTTAAATCTCCAAACAGCATTTCAAACTGCACTTAGGCTAATTCTCCAGAGAGAGACCCTGCATTACTCTCCCATATTTCCTCCTCTAAGTCCCACGCTTGCTTGCTCTCTCTCTCTGTCATCATTGCTAAAATAAATCAAAGCTACAATAATTCATGAGTGTTAAGAGTGTGCGTGCATGCAAGCGCGTGGAGGAATGGGGTTGTTTTTTTTTGGACTTTTTTCTGCAGAGTACCGGGATTTTTTTGAGAAGCTTTAACTCCATCTTACTGTGTGCAGAGAGCTGCCAGGAAAGGCAAGAAATGGAGCGTTTTAATTTGTAGTCACGCAGAAAGAGGAGCCTAAGAAAAAAAAACAGGTTACTGAAAATAATAGATGATTAGCTCAGTATGAATTAGACTTCTCCTCTCAACAGTAATTAAATAATTGTTAGCAAGTCTTATGAAACCCAATGATAAAAACTGTTGAAGTGAAGCTGAGTGAAACAGGAATTTAATGCAGCAGTGTTGATATGAGGTCTCGCAAATGCAATGCTGTTAATGCAAATGCTTTACTCAGAAAGTGAATCCACTTTTCACAATCAGTGTGGATTTAAAATTTCCAATCTCCGAACCGGCTCGATGAAAGTTAATGAGGTTCCCCGTCAACAAAGACTTGAGCGCTGCAGCTCGACCTCTGGGCGATGTGAGTCACTCTGCTGCGTTCACTTTGGCATATTTTGTATTTACATTCTGCACTTTTTTTTCTTCCCCAGAAGGGCCAGGCCGGGTCAAATTTATCAGAAGTATCAAATCGGGCAGCCGCACATGTCAGCTCGAGGACAAGAAGCTAAAAAAATTCAGTCTGACTCGCTGGGAGTAGATGGGAGCGGATAGTTGTGGGTATTTTATACAGCAAACATGAAGAGAAATATAACATATTTAACTTGATAAATGATAAACCACCAACGAAACCACACAAAAAACCAAAAAACCCAAAGCTTTTCTGAGGCGTCGACTGTACAAACAGTAATAAAAGAATAAACAAAGTAGGTCAGTACGATGTGCTGCAGACCGGCAGAAACACATGAATAAAGAGCAGAGCGGAGAAGAAACAGCCTTCTTCTGTTTATGTTATTGTTTTAAGGGAAGCACGGTCCTTATCGCTCTCCAAATCATCTCCACTCGTCTCGCCATTTGCTTAGAAATCCTAAACCACACACACTCACACATACTCACACACACACAGAGTGTATAAACCAGCCTAAACACACAATTTGATGTGTCTCTAAACATAAGAAGGCATTTATGACCATTTGGAGATAAACATTAAACATGAAAAATTAGATTTGCCATTTCATCATTAATTTAAAAAAAGTCATTATGTCACCACATTTAGCAGTAGTCTTGTTATTTTTTTTTGTTTTGTTTTATTTTTAATGCTTGCAATTGTTAAGCAAAAATGTTTTTCTGTGGATGTCAAAAATGTACGTAACAAAAATATAATCAAAGTTTATTTTTATGTGGTGATTTTCAAGAACAAAAGTCACAAAATGCTTTACAATATAGAATAAGATACAACAATTGAAATGTTATAAAGGGATAAAACCAAATAAAGGCAAACCTGCACAGGTGGGTCTTAAATCCACAGATCTAAGGTGCAGTGGAAGTGAGTTTAACTTGGATTTAGGTACAGACAACAAGTGTTGATCAGCTCAAAGATTCAGATGTTTCGCGTGATTGTAGTAGCTCACTCATAAATGGAGGCATATTGACGACGAAGGGCTCTGCAAGTGATTGTACCGTGAACTTTATATGAAGCCAGTGAAAGAAAGACAGAATCTGTGTTACATGGGACGTTTTAGAGGACCCGGTGACCTTCGAACCACATTCTGGACCATTAGTAAGTGATCCAGGGAAGATTTGCTGAGGCAGAGGAATAATGAATTACAATAATCAAGGTATGTTTAATCATCGGGATGTGAGCAAGTGATAAACCTCCTAAACATTAAGAATAAATGATATAAATCATGAGAACTGAGTGAAAGGCAAGAACGTAGACCTTCGAGAGTGAATAGTTCATCCAATATGGCTTCTCAAGCAATTTGTGTATGACACCATGTAAGAAACCTGAATAATGCTCCTTGCTTTACTTACAATAAAACACTTAATGAAAAACTCACCGGCCAGCACTCCTGCCATGTAAAGCAGACTTATTCGTAGGATGCCATGGACCATCTCTAAGGGAACGCCGATCATCAGCTGTAATAAAGCGTTGAAGCCCAGCTGCTCCAAACTGAGGACAGAGCACACAATGAAAGTAAGATTATAACTGCCAGCATTGGCCTTCGTGTGCCATCAGCAGCAGCTAACCTGAATTTTCTCTAAACCAGTACCGCAGGAGTCAAGAGCTTACCCGACGTGCATGAACATGTAGCTGAAGAAACGCCACACTTGTGCACGGTGGCCGGGGTGGTAGACCAGGGGGCTCTTCATGAAGTCAGGCTGATAGGTCTGCAGGACCCACTTGTTTAGCATGATGCCGTAGCACATGAAGACAATAATCTGCAACAAAGACACAAAGATGACACCAAACTGTCAATCTGTGCCGAGTACACGCACTCTCTGCAGAGTGCTTGTACAGAAGGTGAAAAGTGCCCCGCAAAACAAAACCCATTGTGCTTTATGAACGCCGCATGAGGTTCTCTTCTTCTTTGTATTCTTCAGCTGATGCTCATTAGAGTCTTGCAGACAATTACTGCCCACAGAAGAAAAAAAATGGCACATCTGGTTCAATTCCATTAATTTCTTTTCATAAAATAATGACTCATTGTTTCTGTGAATTAAAATGAATGCAAACTGTTATTATCACATTCTCATTGTCATTACAGACCATTCAGTGCCATTTGGAGGCATTATAAGAGCACTTAGCTTTCTTTCCCAAAGAATTAAGATGATTTCAGGGAAAATGATGAAGTTTTGTTAAGAAGCTGTAGGTTATTTCCGCTGCTTAATCTGCAACCATTCAGCTGTAGTCTCAGAGGGCGTTTGTGCTGGTGCTTTTCTTTTTTCAAAATTAACATAATAGGTCAATTAAAGCCACTGTGGTGGTGGCCAGGGTGCTTACTGACCTGGTTTCCAAGTTCCAAGACCAGCGTTTGAAAGAAAAAAAAGAAAAAAAATCCTACACGCAGGCTGGCTCAAGGACTCTGCTTGGAGGAATGACATTAAATGCACCCACTAAGCCTCCGACTCCCAAATGGGTTACCAGCTCATATCAAGCTCACAGTAAAAGTGTGTGATCAAAGGCAGAAAATCTTTTCAGGCCGTCTAAGGCGAACAACTGAGCTAACAGAACAGTGTGAAGTCATATTTAGGGGATTGGATGCTGACTTTGTGGATCTTAAATAAAATGCTGGGGGCCAAAAGCTCCAGGAATGCCCAGATCACTGTGGATGAATCAGGAGAATAACCTCCATCACTTTATAACACTCTGAAACCAGCTGATAATGTTTCCCACTAACCTGGACGATGGTGACGATGGCGATGAAGACGGGCGGGGGACACAGGCGGTTTTGGTGGAAATACCAGCGCCGGTCAGTTTCGCAGGGCAGGATCTCGTAGGCCACATAACGGACGAAACGTTTATAAAGACCCAACCCCGTCTCGTCCAGAAGGATCTCCCGTTGCAGTGTGCGGCGGCCATTGGCGATGGCTCGTCGGAAACTGCTGGAGCGTTTGCTGCTCATCTGAGGAAAAGAATAAAAAGAAAACAAAAAAGATGCATAAACTCAGTGTGTGCAACATCTTGTTGGTAAATGTTTGAATGTTAATTTAGGCTAATGGCATCTAAAAACATCTGTTTGCTGTTTATTGTGAAGTTTTAATGATCACGTGAAGGTTTTTCTTCAGTTTATTTTGTTTGATTTCAGGGGGAAAACACCAGATAAGAAGCTCAATAACATTCTCTCGCCTGTATGCGAAATACAAAGACTGTACATAAATGATGGACATAGCCACAGCTGATTAGTAAAGTGCTGTTGAACTGAATGTGCCTGTTGCTGTCCTCCAGCTGTCTTGAAACCAGAGTGGACTGCATGCTCATAGCAAACTCTGCTTTATCCCACATTGTGACTCAAAATTGTGCTGCAACTTTCAATAAGCATTATGTTGTATTGAATAAGACTTTAAACTCATATAGTATTTACATAGGGGACAGATCCAATTCAGCAGGTTTTCATTATACTTCTATAGACCGATTTCTTTGTGCAAGTGGAAAATTCAACCAACTGCTGGCAGTTCGACAGAATAAGAGAACATGCTTCACTTTTCAGGCTACATCCATCTTTCATATACAGTCTATGGTTAAATATAAAAGATATCCACAGGAAAATGGAGGAAAGACTAAGCCTGGGTTTGTTCAAAGAGAGCAAGTTTGTGTACCAGCACCTTTAGAGCTTACTATACAACACTCCACATCTCATGCAACTTCCTGAAATCTTGACATAAACATGTGGTTGTCAGGCAGCCAGTGTCTTTTCTCCACCAAGTAGTATTGGTAAAGTTTAAACACAGGACAGCAGAAAAGGCCAAGTTGTCTTTTTTAAAGCTAAGTTTTAGTACGGTTCCAACAAGATGATTCATAACATGTTGGGAGTTTGTTATTTTTGGATGTAGCTAGGCTGTTTTTTTCAGTCATTATGCTAAGTAAGCTAAATGAGCTGCAAGACTGGCATGAGAGCGGTATCAGCCTTTCAACAAGAGAACACAAAAGCTTATTATCCAAAATTCCGCCTAATTATTGTATTCAGAAAGGATGAAAGACTTTAAGGAATCAGCACCTTACATCCTTTATTCATTTGCTGCTTTTGATTTATTTATTTTTTTAGCTATATGATGATATCATGGTTTTGTTTTTTTTTGAGGGATTTTTTTGCAAACAAGAGAACCTTAGAAGCATTACTGTCAACAGCTGGAAAACACCTTGCCAGAATAAACAGATCTCATCTCGCCTGCTGGTCTCATTTCAGCAATTAAATCCATAACTTTCCTCACACTAAGTGGATCAAACAAAAACAAAGGAGGGTTTGTTCTCACATAATCTGAGAGAAACTCATCAGTGTGACTAATCACCCTGGATCAGAACAAACTAACAGTCATAAACTTCTGCTTTCACAAAGGCAAGACTAGGGACACTGTAGTTTTCTTAACTTCTTGCCTGTTATTACATTATTCTTCATTTATGGATGATTTTTATATGTTTAGTTAATGTTTTTGCAAACTTAGACTAAGTGGAATGGCTTACGCAGGACAAAGTAAAGTTATAAATATTGAGTTTATTAGTTTGTCACTTTGACAGCCAGTCTGTATGTCGGGAATGATAGACAAACGCTGGTACAGAAGGGATTTGGTAAAACAAATACACTGCAGTTTAAAAAGACTGGATATTTTTAAAGTAATGCATTATTATTTGTGAATATTGTCAATTCTGTCCAATGACAGCAATACTGAGGTGAGTTGCTGATGGTATTATGAACTTTTCTATTAGTGAGCACTGCTGTAAGCCCATATTAGCTTCTGTTAGCCCATATTAGCTGCCATTAGCCCATGTTAGCTGCAGTTAACCCATGTTAGCTGCTGTTAGTTGATGCTACTAAAATGTTCTTTGAAGTGGATCTAACACTGTTGGACTTGGAAATTGGCAAACAAACCCCCCAAAGCTCTAACACAATGTGAGAATGCAATCAAACCGTTTATCAGAGGGAAGGTGCGATTTTTAGGACACTAGCATAACATTAGCTGGCATAATGTTAGCCCATCAGCAGCTGCTCTTATTGTTTAGCCCACTTCTTATCAGTTGTCTGGAAATCTGCTGACAATAAGCAATTGCGACAATATCATGCCTAAATATGAGCATGTTTAGGCATGTTTTTCTGTTTTAGAGCACTGACTTCAGTTAGAGAGATGAAGCTTGTAAGGAAGACGAAATGAGGAGGATATTTTATTCAGATGCTTACTTACTGTTCCTTTGATAGTGAATTACTGTATACATTTACTGATTGAATACAAATATCTTGCTTATCGTTTTTATTTTGTGTTTCAACCTTTATTGTTCGTGCGCCCAAGAACATTGTTACAGTTTTGTTCGTAAGGCCGGCATGACTGAGTATAATGTCAGTGTAATGGCAACCAGCAATATTCTATTGTGAAGCTTTTATTCCATACAGCACAAGGCAGTAATATTTTTACAATGCAGAATGTTGCAGATTACATTAGTTACACTGTAAAACAACAGTTTAATGATGGCAAATCTATCTGCCAGCACTTAATTTAACTACAATGCTTCTTTCAGAAAGTACACAGTATATGTTCATAACGAGCTTTAGATGTTATTGTAACTAAAGCAGAAGTTGAGAGGTATTTAGTGCTTAATGAATTTGTGAGAGCATGTGAATTTTTATTTTTCCTCCTACAAAAGCTATGTTACATGTTTAAAAACATGTGATTGGTTTTTAGCACACAACAGATTTTTAAAAAAGAGATAAGAAAGTTATTCAATGAGTAGGGTCTTTTTTTTTTTTAAATTTAGACAAATGTAAGCCTGACTGCTGGCTAGATCAATTACTCCTCAGGCATTGTAATAATATGTTGTTGAAGTGTGTCCGCCCTTGAAAAGCAAATCTTAGTTGAAAGGAACTATTGCATGGAAAGAAAGAAGGCATTTGTACATGTGTGTTTGTATGTCTTCATTTTAATCATGGGCTCCAGGTTTGCTTAGTGAGCAGGGCCTGTGCAGAAGCTTGCAAGCTGACAGCACCAGCTCTTGATAAGTTATTCAATAGAGGCTTAGGATGAAAACTATCCTAATGCCACGATTTTGACAGCCGAGCCAGAGAACTGCTAGGATAACAACACAGAGTTCTTTTCCACCAGAGTTACCACTGAAAATACTGCCTGACCGGCTATCCACAGCAGGGGCACTTTAGATTCAATATCTGTATTTCCTAATAGAAAATGAGCATGCATAAGTCACAGCTATGATGATGGTGGAAATCTCTGGTGTAGCTAAAACATATGAGGCGAGCTGGCAGACTCGCCTCATAATGTATGACGAAACGAGACTCTAGAGAGAGTAAGAAGGCAGCAGCTACAACAGAAAACCTTACTGTACGTACAGGTTTCACGTAACAGTAACTTTAGACAAACATGGCAGCTTCATGTGAAGTGTAACAGAACCTCTTCAGGGGACCTGCAGGAAGTACAACCCACCATTAAAGGTACAACATCAGTAATTCATTAGCCAGGCCCTGCTGCTTGTACACTCATTATACATAGACACAGCAGGAGCCACAGTGGAAGAAATTGTGGGTCAATATCTATAAAAGCAAATGAGCTAAACATGCTAGAAGACAAAATCTGTAAATGTAGATGAACAAATAATGAAGAAATGCAAATAGCGGCGACTGTTTCTTCCCTCCTCTTCAAGAAATTGCTCAGGCAAAAATCAGGGGGTTAAAAAAGTGCTAATCCCTTTTGGAAGCTAACAGAGCAGGATGTGGTAACTATCCTAACTGTGGGTAATTATGATACTGGTGGTTGTACAGCGAGGGTGTAAGGGCCTGTTGCAAAGCGATAACCAGAACGATGTCGAGCTGGGCTGCTGGCTCTCCCACAGACGGAGGGTTGCATATTTAGTATGGAAATCAGGCCTGGAAAATGCAATTATACAATACTTGAGGCAGGAAGTGGAAGCGGAGCAAAAGGAGCATGGGGACATTAGAAGGCAGAGATGGGAAACATAAGACGGGGAGATCAGATGCCTGTCTGCGTGAGTTTGATTAACAGATTTTTCTGAGGCCACCAGTGGACAGCGAAAGGTGAGATGTCTTAATATAACTGAATGTACAGTTTAAACAAAGAAATTGGGACTGGCTTCTTTTCCAAATAAGATCACATCTTATTTAATCTGGCTCAGTGAAAGCACCTACCGCCTCTTTCTGCATTGCTACTGTATTCTCTCCCATTCATATTGCCTGAGTGAAAAGTTGTTCCCTGAAGGCACGGTTAAGCACGGCTGTCACTCTGCCTCACCTTCTCTGACATGCAGGACTGCCGACACTAAAGTGAGCATTAGCAGCCTTTTGATGTGACGACAGGAGAGAGACGGCAACCAGACAATAACACACACACACATAAACGTCAAAAGTCAAAACTTGAGGAGTGAAAAAGCAAAGTGCACAGGGAGGAAAAAATAAATTCACATGACATCAGTATAGCGCTGTAAGGGAAAATCTCTGAGGTGTGCATCAGTTCCCTGATGGGGCACAGTCTGCTGGGAAATAAGTGATGGAGAGGCAAAGAGCACAAACACATATAAAGGCAGTATTCTCCTTTAGGGATGGCTGATTGGAGCAGACTGACAGCAGTGTGTGCCTCATGGTGGCTGCAGGTTGTACGTGCTGCTCTCAGCTCGAGTCAATCGTTCTTGATGGATTAATTAGCCACACCACATGGTCAATACCATGCAGCTCAATACTAATTAGCAATAACAATTTGGGGGGGGGAAAAGCATCTTAAAGGCCATCCAGATGTCTGCATTGCAGCTGCAAAACAATCCATAAATGATTCTGATTATGCCCACTTTCCTTCCTCCTGCGATAAATCAGTTATCGATGCCGAAAGAATCGAAGGCTGTGCCAGTTAACAGTGCTACAGATTCACCATCACCAGGCTAACAGTGTCACTGTTTGCATTTACCATCTAATTTGCGAGTCATCCAAAGGGCCAAAAGCACCCTTCTCCTTTACTCTCTCTTACTCTGTCGTGCTCTCTCGCAGCAGCCTCTAAATCACTGCGGATCTCAGCCTCGCTGATTCTACCCTGACCCAGATACTCAGGTTCTTTCTTACTCAAATCCTTTTAAAAAATTCGGGTTCCCCTTTTTTCTTTTTTTCCCCTTTCCCTCTCAGCAGTTTGCGGCCACAACCCTCCTTCATGGCTTAATAGTTGCAGCGCTAAAACTCCAAAAAGAAAAAAAGCCTTTACTCCAGGACACTTAGGCAAAGTGCATTACTTTTAGTTGGGAACCCATCTCCAACACAAAGCTTCAACTGGAGTTCAGCGTGCAGTGGAATGCTGATAGGTAGCATCTGTGTCCCAGGAGAGAGATGCCCCGTGAGCACTGTGACTTGGGAGACCTTGGAAACTTTAAAAATGCTGTAATCGCCTACTTCCAGAATGAAACTTTAACTAGACTTTTGGATCTCAAACGCTCAGTTTAAGACATTTAATATTTATTCAAATTCAAAAGTGTTTCCCTAACATCACCTCCTGAGGGACCGGAGAATATTAGCGCAACATCTGGGCAAAAGGATAAAAATGAAAACAGGAAAAGGCGAAGTCCTAAAAATCCTTCAACCTGAACACAGAGAAACCCCTGCTATAATCTCTGAAACACACACTTCACCCATGTAATTAACCATGGCTGCCATTTTGTATCTCTTTCGAACATTAGCCAAATTACCACCCGAAGGAGAACGGTGACACACTTCTTCAGCTACATAGCTGGAACATGATAGCATCAGAGGGCTCAATAGGTAAAATTAAACATAGGATAGGAATACATCACACTTCCCGGTGAAATCCTTTTCCCCTGAGTTCTTAAACCCATGCTCATCTTTCACACTTTCATCCCCTCCAAACCCCTAATGTATGACCTTTGAAACCTCAGGTGTCTTTTAGCCTTCTGAATTGATCAAATGTCTGCGTTTTACTGTGGAGCTGCTTGAAAATATCTATTGGTTTCCTTGTGCAGAAGTCTGCACTGATTAGCAGTCAGACACAGACCACTAGTCTTTCGTATATGTACGAGTGTGTGTGTGCAGGCGTGCGTGAGTGTATGCACAGTTCCCCAAGAGAGGCTTTAGCAGAGCGTTACTTATTCACCCCTCTGGCTGAACTGATGGAGTTCTCTGGCTCGGATCGCCCTGCATGAAAGATGACTCGAACGTGAACGACGCGACGCGCGAGGCTTGTCTTGTACTAGTGCGAGCGCGCACGGTCTCGCGCAGACACCAGAGAAGCTGTTGCCTAACGGTGTGATTCAAAACACATTTACACCCACTGAGGTCGAGCGAGGCAGTGTGAATTCACGGCTGCAAAACTCACGGAGCGAATGTAGAACAACAAATCAGGAAAAAAAAGAAAAATGTTGAACACAGCCGCTAAGAGACACAACAGAGAGAAATCTCACCAGCTTGTGAGCTGAAAAGGCACAGATTGAGAATACACACACACACACACAGACACACAGACACACAATGCATCTTGCTATGTCCATTTTAATAATGTGCAGGGGTGTTACATTTTCCACAGAGGCCAGACCACAAAATCAATACAGACACCAGACTTCAGGCAGCGGCTATAACACTGTAGCAGCACTGAACCTTCCAAATGACAACACGACTGTCATCTGTTATACACTGTGGAGTATCACTTACAAATCTGCTTCAGATACAGTTATGTGAAAAGAAGCAAGCAAAATAAATAAATAAGCTAAGGGAGAATTGGACTAAATCCAATCTTCAGAGAGCGAAGAAGCCAATGAGGTGAGAGCCACGCAGAGCGAGGAGGGGAAAGAAGGCCCAAGGTATTCGCCCATGATCCGGATGAAAATGTCATATTACGTTCTGCACTCTGTCTGCAGAGCTCACGCGTCACGTGCTGCACGATGAGAGGCCAGATTCGCATCAACATTCAAATATCCTCTAAATTACTCAGCAAATCTGCACACACAGGGCTCATGTGTATGAATGAGAGTCTGCCTGCAGTGTGTCTGTGTGTGTCTGTGCACATCAGGGAGAGGGGAGGCGGTGAGACAGACAGCAAGGAAGTGGGAGGCTGCATCAATTAATAATAAACTTCTTGAAAATGTTTGCATATATGCAAATTGCACGCATGTGCACAACAGCGTGGGTATTGTTCGCGTTCACATGTGCGAATCAGACGAATCTTTAAAAAACAGACCTGGGGGTCGATATCTGTGTGAGACATGGGCGCTCTCAAATTACCTCAGATTGCTGCCGACTACTACCAATGCCGGCTACTAATCGAATGCAATTTGCATTTGGCTGATGGGCAATTTTAAAAGTGTCTCCCTGATGATGTTGGAGGCGAGGCTGTGTTTTTTTTTTTTTTTAACCTCTTTCCTCTGCAGAACATATGTTCACAAGAAAAAGAGAAGACGGGATTGAAAGAGAAGGAAATGAGATCCGAGTGCTCAAGGAGACAGGTTCATAATGAAGGGGAGGCGATATTGCATGGACTCAGAAGGGGAGGATTCAGATGAGATGCAACGAGATGAGAAGGATACGGAAAAAAAACAACCCACACTTCAACAATGGTTGCGAAAGAGAGGCTGTTTTGTGGGAGCAGCACCTCTACAAGTCTGTAGTGGCACAGACCTCAGAAATGGGACCAGCTCCAAATTGAATGGCCTCATGTGGCCTTTGCTACAAATCATAGGGAGCACAACATGCAAACACAGAAGCATGCATAGAGGCACACACACACACAGAAAAAGAGATAAACAGAAAAAGAAAGCAGGAGCGGGGGAAAATGAGCTTAAGGAAGAGAAAACATCCCAGGAATTGCACTGCCTTGAATTAATCACTATGCTTACACCCTACAGCACCAGGAGCCAAAAGCAGGTGCTCATCTGTGGGCTTGGAGAGACTCAGGCTTTCAGATATAAAGCTCTACATGAATTTGTAACTGCAAAAAGAAGAGCAGGGAATGAATTAAAAGGAATGCATGCCTCACATTAAGTCATCTGTGGCTGTGGTTAAGAGATGACAGCACACAGACTGTCCTCACATCAGCTTATAGAACACTTTCTGGCACATAATCACTCATCAGGGAGTCAAACATTAGAAAACGGTTCAAATTAAACCATGAGATGTATCTGGAATATTGGAAAAACAACACCATATTGCGTTTAATATGTTACTCCTTACAGTATTAGTGTGTTTCAGTATATATGTGTTATAATAAACAGAATCTATTGCTTCGACACGGTGCTCTGCCAGCTCGGTGTGGGTGTTTCCCGCACTTGCTGTTGCCGGCTTGTGAGGTTAAGTGTCTGGATTTACCGACACATTAACTGGAAAGATTGATCCTTCTTTTGGAGGACAACGACCTAAATGGTCGAGTCAATTTTCGCCACTGCAGAGCTCGCTGGCTCTGTCTGAATCAATTCTGTAACCTTTCTGAAATCCAACAAAAAGAGGAAAAAAAAGGTGGGATGTTTGTGTGCGTGTTGTTGTGCGCAGCGGGATACAAAGCAACTCCCAACTCGCATCGCTATTTGCGCCCGTGCACGTGCGCTCGCGGTTTCCACTCACCAACTCGATGAGCTCCTGGTAGCACACCTGCCCGTCTTCATTGCTCTGGACGAGGGCTAACAGCATGTCCAGCTTGGATGGATCCAGCTGCAGCTCATGGTGCTCCACCAAACTGGTAAAGTTCTCCACTGCAATGAAACCGGTGTTCTCTGGGTCCAGCTGAAAATAAATAAAAACACAAAAACAAAGCCCTTGGAGTAAAAACCGCAAGGCAGCCGCTACAATGCACTATTATGCATCTTTATTTTTTAATAAGCAGGTGTCAGTCTGCCCTCTGGGAGAACACATCAAGTAATAGACAGCTGGGGTGTACCAGTATTTACAGACACAACAGAGTCTATTCGGGGCTTGACACCAGATTTCATTAAGCTGATGCTTATATCATGTCTTTAAAAGACACTTTAAACCTCATAAAAGGAGCAAATCCATTGAAACCCAACATGTTAGGCTGTTGAAAGCAGCAACAAGAGAAGGGCGAGTTTGTCATTCTAGGTTTCCTAAAAACACGAAAAACAAATCAAAACCAAAAAAAATCCTGACCAACTTTTCAGTCTTTATTCCTGTGTGGGTGCCTCCACACGAGTCTGTTTTTGGCCACAGTTGCGACTCACAGTCAGTGTGGTTTTTTTGTAATCGCCACTCACAAAGACCCAGAGCCCCGTGGGTTATTACTGCTGATGTCTGTATGCCCGAGCTGCTCCTTGTAATTGATTTAAGCAGGAGAATCTCATAAAATCATCTGAGTGTTTTTGTTTGAAATAGCACCAGGTTAAAAATGGCTTGTAAAGTATAGGGTGTGTGTCTATGCTTGGTTTATTTAATATGGGGGCCCCCCCCCCCCATTTTTTTCTCCAGCATAACATACAGCACTACTTCATTTTCTTCTCTTTTTAGTGATGGAGCGTTAATTTCTCATGCCCGCTCTCCTTAGTGCATCTGTGTTTGTGAGACTGTGCCCGAGGACAAACCGAAGCAGCACAAAGAGACCGCATGGGAAGAGTCCTTGCTGCTTCTCTTTTGACTGTTTCCTGAATGCTAACAGTGCCTCATTAGGTTCTGGAGAGCATACCGACGGCCTTTTGTCGCCCCAGGAAGGGAGGGGGGGTGAGGTGAGCTTTTCAGATGTTGCGTCAGGATGTAGTCAGTCATGCTGGATCATTGTTGGTCGTATCACAAGTCCATGAGAAGGATCTGATCTAAAAGCTGCCTTAGTCTGGACGTGATCTGCACCGACACTGTGTCGGTCTCTACTGCAGGAAGTTCAAAGCTAAAGGCTTTACTGTTCAACGAAGGAGCAAAGAACATGAATCAGGGAATGCATTGGTGTGAGAGTGTGCATTTCAGATTTTCACTCCCTGGACACTTTTTAGTTATCTGGGAGAGCGTTAGTGAAAGCAGGAAGTTCATAGTAAGTTTTAATGATTTAATTAGGATGAGTGTTTTCTACTGCTACTTGATGTAGTGAAGGGATATTGTTAATACTCTACAAACACTAAATAACTCATCACCAGGAAAAAATAAATCTTATACCCTCAACAAAGTGTTTGTACTCACATAAACTTACTAAATTTACATTTATGTTTGACTGATGACTGTTTACACATCACATATTGACTGTGAATGTGATAGCCAGCACTCCCGTGGCAGACTGGAATGAACATATTACCAAATTTGTGGACACAAATGAACCAAAATAGGAACAACAGAGCCCCCCTGTTTATTTTTAGGTAATCTCCTTAACTCTACGTTCCACGGATGTTTGTTAAAACAGAAGAACCGAGCGCAGCAGCACAGTTCTCTTCAGTGTTGATGTGTAGTGTACCGAGATATAGAGGGGGGAGGGGGTGACAGCAAGGAGGCAAGAGGTGAAAAATGGAAGAGGTAGGTGGGTGGTTGGCGGGTTGATGAAATGAAAGAAAATGGAAAATGGCGAGATTAAAGTTGAAGGACGAGAAGGTATGAAACAAGAGGGGGGAGAGCGCCAGAAAGGAGACGGGACTGAAAGTAAAAATGCCTCACTGCCGTCTGTGCACGTCTGGCTAACCCAGCGGTCTGGCAGTGAGTCCTCTACTTCTCTTTCCTATAAGAAGGCTGTGACACACTCCAGTGCTCTGCATCCTTTTGCCACAGAGGAGAGATAGATCAGATTCTAATGTGCTCCCGGCTCAGCCCGGGCTGACAGGGGGAACAGAGAGCCACACTGGGGACGTCTGATTACTGTCAGCCTCCATATGTCAGCACATCACTACCCTACACATACAGCAGAAGTGCACAGGCACGCTGTATATGGCTGTGCACATTTACACAAACCACAAGTGTTGACACTGAGCTGTCATACTGCACAGGTACTTCTCCCTCCATGGTATGACCTTATTCAGGAAGAACGTCACATAGGGGAGACTGTCTGCAGAGGATACACGAAGGTGGAGGACTGGTTCTTGTAGCCAATTAGGGTTATCAATTACCAAGATGAGGCACAGTGAGATAAATGAGTGTTGGCAAGAGGAAGGGCCTGATTTTTTTCTTTTTCCCCCCTCCCTTGGACAGGCTGTTGACGTGCATGAACAAGGGAGTGGGGCAGAGAAACAGAGGGAAGAAAGGGTTTGGAAGAAGGAGGGAAAAGCACTGAGAGGGAAGCAGTTATTGAAGCGATCCAACACTGGTGAGGGCGACACTGGTGAGGGCGACACTTTGACAAGCTGCATGCGTTGCCATGGTTACGTGGTTTGCCTGCGTGTCATCCCTTTCTTGCATTTACCCCTACAAACATATTGGCATTCGAGAGGCAAAGGAAAGACACAACAGGGGGGGGGGGGGGGGGGGGGCGAGAGAGAAAAAGGCTGTAAAAAAGGGAAAAGACGGCAGGAAGTGAAAATAAAAATGAAGATGGATAAGAAAGAGACCAACGAGATAAGAATGAGGCGGTGCTACGATGAACTCTGGGTGTAGATGTAAAGGGAGGCGGAGCGGGAAATTATGATGGTGTCGAGGCAGACGGATCAACCAAATCGAGCTGCCTCAAGAGCAAGTGTGAGGAGGTGGACAAGACACAGGATGAAAATGTATACATGAGGAGGGTGGAGAGGAGAAGAGTGCTGACTGCAGGGAAATGATCTCAGTGTTAACCCCTGGGACCTCCATTACCTTCAGCACAGCGACTCTGACTGACCCCAGCCAAAGACTGATTTATCTGTCTGTTCCACAGGAACTCGAGGGCAAACCCTCGAGAACAGGGACAAACCACAAACCCCCAGCTGTGACACGGATACAGGCGGCAGTGCTGAAACATGGTTCGGCCATAACATTAAAACCACTGACAGATGACGTGAATTAACATTGATCATTTTGCTGTGAAAACCTCGAGATCTGGCATTCACGTGGACGTTACTTTGTCACGTTCAGAGCCTGATTCATGGATGCTCATCTTCACAACCCAGAGGACGCAAAGGATCTTCTATTAACGTCCCAGTGTCAGACACTGAAGGACACCCTCCAGAGGGTCTGCATCCAGAGCTGTTTAGGGGTTACAAGAGGGACGAATACAATAGGGCATCCGGTTTAAATGCTGTGTAAAACTGGTGTATAATCTTACATGCGGAACTGACACTGACAATTGCTCTGTAGCACTAATGGAGCTGTAGCTAACACTGCAGTGACATTATCAAGGGCAGAAAGCAGAGATGATTAAACTGTCTACAGCTTGTATCCATCCACTTTAATCTTTACTGCTTTTTGGGCTCTTTGATCTAAAGAAAATTATTCAACAACAATACTGATGACTGATTGATTAAAGTACACAAAAGCTTATTTTGGACTGTGGATCTGACAATGAAAAGCACAACAAGGATTCTATTTCCTGATGAATACCGCTTTTAGTTTTAAAAATGTGTTCAGTAGTATAAACTTTAAGAGAAAACAACCCCTTGCTCCCCTGGTCTGTGACCTAAGAAGACACTTTCCTAATGAGTTTGTTGTCTCAAGTTTTACAAAATACTGCATGATCTTCATTTAATAAATTATTGTCAAAAAGCAGGATAAAGAAAAACACTTTCAAGAGTGGATTTACAAGTCTCTATCGAGCAGATTTGAACAAATTAGTTTCTAAGTCTAATTAGCCCCACACTAGTCATATTTGTAGTTTCATAATGTGACTTAAGTAACCAGTGTCTTTATGGACGTGTCCATCTTTTACATACAGGCTATGCACAGTAGCTACAAGTACTAAATGAATGGTTGCTTGATAAATAGCATTTAGTCATTGGAAGGATAGTGGATAGTGGACTGCTGGTGTGGCTCCCTGGTACACACTCAGTGACACAATGCTAACCCTGTGGCACAGAGCCAAAAAACAGACAGTCCACTTTGGTGTCTGTGAACAAGAGCACCAAGCTTGAACGCTGCTGTGGCATTTACAGGGCAAAGCGTATTTGCATGACATCAGATTAAAAAAAAACAACAAAACCCTCTGAATTGTCTCTGCTGCCCTCGGGATGCACTGGTGTTCACCAACAACTGGGCCACCGACTCCGTAATTATCACAATGCTTGTTCTGCTGTGCTATTAATATCAGCGTGTTTTTAAACTTTTCCGCTCTAGTGCTGCGATGTCACAGGCCTAAGATCTAAATCGCGCCCAAATGGTCATCGGACTCCACTTTCTCATGTTAAGACAATGCAAACACAGGGAATTTCAATTTCAAATACAGCTGAATACAAAGAAGAAGAAAAAAAGAGTGGTGGACAGAAATGTGTCAGAAAAGCATTCAGAACCCCAAGGCCTTATGGGTGAGATCTAAATACGATTAGACCTGAATGCTTTCGCGGCTGAATGCTGCCAACCATCAAGTTACCTTATCAGGGACACTAGAATAGAAAGGCCACCGTAAGCATGTGTTTATGTGTAAGGCTGCATAGGCCAGAAATAGCCCACGCTCAGCACTACAACCTCCTGCAGACAAAGACTAATAAACTCATGTTTCTACGGTTTCGCTCGCCTTCTTCTCCCCCTGCAGCATTTTCACGTGGTTCAGTCTGACAGACCCGCAACAACCCCTCTCTTCAGACCTGCAGTCCTCACATATGCATAACACGTCAAGTCTCCACCTATAGTGGTTTCGGAAGACTTCACCGAAACTCCCAAATGCTTAAACTCTACAGCAACTAAAAGATGCTCGATCTGAGGATCTATCAGGCCAAGTTTGCCTCAGTTTTCCAGCGGCAGTGAAATGAATGATGCATAATGCAACATTCCTGTTTTGGACCTATCCCTCCAACATATACCTTTTATTTGCCCGTTGACTTGATTGTCTGATAAATGCATCACTCTAAAACGAAGGGAAATAGCATTCAAATTATATCCAAATCTATTTTTCTTTAAAAGTAAAAGGCGGCAGATTCAGCATGCTAGACAGCGGAAAAACTAAGAGGCGACAGTGACTGCATGATCATCTCCCTTTACATCCGACTACAGTTAAAATACCCTTGAGAGAAGCACTTGATCTCCAGGTGCACTTGTAGATTTGCTTAGAAGCTGGCAGGATATTGCTGTTGTTGTGGAAAGCCTCCAGTGAATGTGACAAGAGAAATCTGGAGGGCAGAGCTGCATCAACATGAGGCATGTTCAGCAAAACATTTTCCTGGATAAAGATGAGGGAGGAAAGTGCTCGATGTTTAGGCAGGCAGAAGGCTTTGTAAAAAAACAAAAAAACCCAAGCTTTCCTGCTCTCCGTCCAAATGCTGTTGGCAGATTTCACCTCATTTTAGTTTAATTAGAGAGACCTTTTCCAAATCAAAGGCCGCCGCATGGAGTCCCAAAGGTGGAGAAAGCCTGTCGTCAGCCAGTGTGAATGATTTTGGTCTAGACTTGAGCTTAACAGAAATGCTCAGCTGTGGCCTTGCAAACTGACTGTATGCAAATACTGGTCCAAGCAAAAACAAAAAACATAAACCCCCCAATCAATAAAACAACTAGTAATTTACAGTGTGGAAATATTGGCCTTGTCCCCCGGCTAAAGACCTGTTACACTGAAAATGGATATTGACAGAGATTAGTCAGCCTCACACTGCAAAGTATCTGTGAAGGAATATGAACTGTGGCTAAATCACTAATGTATTTAATCTTAAATCGCGTATACAGCGCATGACTCACCGGTGCCACCACACTGCATCTTTTCAAATAACCCACACAGGCTTTTTCCAATTACTTTAAAAACCACACGCATTCATAAAAAACGCAATCACAAACACACACGCATCCTAAGTACAAAGTCTAGATGTGTGTGTCTGCGAGGCAGTTTACTGTGTAAGCACTTTAATGTGAACATGTTTGCAGTCCCTTGAGTCAATATGTTGCAGATGAGCCACTCGTGACCCGCCTAGACTCTGCAGCACACAATCAATTTCTTCCTTCTTGGACATAATGACTGTCCATACACCCTGACAATCAGTGAACGCCCCCAGTGGGCCGGGTTCTCATTAAAAACAGAAGACATGCTAGTTAAAAAACAGACATCAAAATCCAGTTGAACGTCTGCCTTCAAGCAGCCCAACCCAAGCGTGCACACGATTTTTTTGGTTTAAACCATTTTGGTTTTGGTAAATTTGGAGATGGCAGACCAAAGATAAATATGACTGAAGAGTAAATATGGCAGCTTGGCTTGAGGACAGATGTCAAGAGGCACATTTTTCACTGGCCTAAATATAGTCACAAACCCTGTGTTTCAACTTGGCAAGAACCTCCAACATGGCTGGGGACAAAAAAAAAAGAAAGATGGAAAAGTTTAAAAACAGACACTGTTATCTGGCCTTAAAGGGGAAAAAAATGACATATATATTTATATAAAACCAGGGCTTCAGGGAAACTGTCTCACTGTCTCAGAAATAAAATGTTAAATAATTCTGCAAACTCAAACTCAAAACCCTCGGGTGTTAATATTGGGTGTGTGGCAAGTGCAGCAACTCAACCTAAACTGCAGGAAAAACAAACACAACCATAGACATGCAGAAGGATTGCTGCAGCATTTACAGTTGACCAAAAGACTAAAAACCATCCTTCATTTAGAGAACACAGCGATCTGTCTATCCAAGCATCCATGCATTCAGTATATTCAGTATCCATCCATCAGCACACACATCTCCTTCAGAATTCCTTCTATAGACCGTGACACGATGGTCTGCCTCCTGCTGTGGCTCAAGATCTGACCTCACATTCTTGTGGCCAACATCGCTCCGAGATGCTTTCATTTGTGCCCGTGCACGCACAGTCCCTGCTATCAATCCCAACATCAGTTCTCAGCACAGCCTCCATGTCTCAGTCCCTGGGTAGACGGCGAGGTGGCCGGGATCTTGTAACCATAGAAACCTCTGCCGCTGCTTCCTTGCTTACCTGCTCTTGTATGAGCTGAAACAGGGAGCTTCTATCCATATACTGGCCAGGGAGGTGAGAGGAGCCGCCGAGGACAAGGGCATAGGGAGGAGCGAGAGAGAGGAGTGGTGGTCTGGTTGGAAAAGATGGGAGAAGGTGGAGGGGGGAGATACGGTTAGGTAGCCGCTGGTGCCTAAATAGTAGCGTCAGGCCGTTTCGTTACTGCCGTGTTTCCCCCCCCCCTTTTCCTGTTAATGGTCCCTGGGTTTTCTTGCTAGTGGCGTCGCCGGGGTGATAAACGGGGGTGCTGAGTGCTCGTCGGGTGGTGCAAATGGACTGTGACTCTGCTCCGTGTCAGTACAGCGTGGCGCGGTGGTAAACCCAGCTTCAGCAGACGACAGGCAGGCACGCAAGGCAAGGCAGATCCAGCAGCTCTCATTCACTCTCCTCCTCCTTCTTGCTCTCCTCTATCCCATTGCACTGACTGCTACCTCTCTCTCCTGCTCTCCCTCTCTCTCTCATCCCTCTCCTCTCTCTCTCTCTCTCTCTCTCTCACACACACACACACACACACACACTGCACCGCCTGCATACCAATGAGGCAGAGGAGGGAGGCGGCCTCTCGCTTCCAATTGCAGGAGGGGAAGGAGTGGCCAGGGGCTGCGGCTCCTCTCCTCACTACAAGTAAGGCGTCTCGGGGAAGGAGGAGAGGATGGGTTCCACTGCGGCTTTGCGCTTACTACTGCTACAGACACCCCCACCCACACACATGCACACACACACACACATGTCTGGTCTGTTACATTCATACATACACAAAACCACACAGTGTAAACAAGACAAAAGCTACTAATACACAGACATATGGTAAAATACTATCCATGTTGTGTCTGTCAATTTCAGCCACACACGAGATGTGTTGCATAAAGGATCACAAGGAAAAAGAACTACTGATACCACTGATCAAACCTTAGCTGTTCTGCAGCCCTTTACATTCTAATTCTAATCTCTGGCACATTAGCTCGTTGTAAGGACTGCTCTAATGATCAAACGGACTCCCACCTCCAACGCACACAAACATGAAATTGAATCAGACAGCTTGGCTGGCTCACTGATCGTCCACTGAGCTCAGACGAATACCACAACAACAATAACACCGACCCAGAACCCTCAACAGTTCATTAAGTAATATCAGAACAATGGTTCAATCTACAAAACCTGACAGGTAATAAAGAGACTGGTTGCGGGGAGGAGAACATAAAAATAGCTGAAGTTGTTAGCGCTCAGGTGGGCGTCAGTCCTTTCTTGAGATTGTTTAAAAGGTGTTTTCTTCCTGCACAAATCCACAGTGACCCCTCCTCCTCAGGACAATGGTGATAATGGCAGTATAATGTAAATCTTAGTTTTATTTTATTTTTTTAAACCCTCTCCAGTGGAGCGCAGTGTCAAGGCTGTGACTCAGGGACCGCTTCAGCTAACAGATAATGGGTGAGGCGGCGATGTTTAATGTCTTCTGTGTAACTCACAGTCCCTCTGCTTGCTGAAACGATTGCAGTGATTGCACCACATGTTTGGACCTTTCTCTTCATATAGATGCAAAGTGGTTTATAAGTTCTCTTCAATGTGAGAAAGGAATAAATAAAATATATATATACCTCATTACAAGGACAGTATTGTCTTGTGCTTTATTGGGTCAGATGGAGCCTGCGAGCTATACAAAGCCATAAGTAACTGCTGTATTTATTCTAATGGTTTTGGCCTGGGCCACAGTGAATATGGCATAGCTCCCAGACCTTCCCTTTGTCACCTCCCATTATGCCAGTCTGACACTCCTGTTTGAACAAAACCTTAATAATTACACTCCAAGTCTTTGGAGATGACAGGATTCCATTTTTTTCCTCCCTGCGTGGAAAGACTGAAGTCACGCCATGACGTTCTTTGTTCGACTACTAATCAATGTTAAGAATTAATTTGTCTCCAATACTCGGTAGTTGTGAGCCTGAATACGACCGAGCTAATTACGAGGTCACTGCTGGAGGATCTGCAAACTGCAATGAGCGAGACAGATTGAAAAAGCTGCCAAAATGAACCTGGATTCAACTGTTGCCTTGGTAACCTCAAAGGACTTCCATCAAACAATGATAGACAAGTAAAAAAATACATATCCGGTGCGGTAAGAAAAACAGCAGAGAACCCTCCTAAGAGAAACGCCCAGACTTTGGAAAACTGAAAACAAAAGGTGAATTTAATGTAGTCTTCATGAGATTTCTTAGCATAGAAATCCAAAATTAAACACATACCGCTCTATTGAGCCACACTACGTCAAGTCAAATGCCCTCTATGGAACAAAATGGCACTTGATGCAAGTAAACAGCATTTTCAGCGGTGTAAATAACATGCCAACAAAGCTCACGGCCCCACCAAAGGTCAAACAAGCATCATTGTTGCCATTAAACCGAAACCGAGTGACATTAGTCGACCCAAAGAAAGTCCAGTCTTCGGCTGCCTGAAGCATCGCCAACTGAACGAGCCAGACTAAACCCTTCACCTCTGGTGGATGGATGCAGACGGCAGGATGAGCCCAGGCAGACCATGCTCCTCTTTAACAAGCCCTGAGAGCTGCAGACAAAACACTGGTGTAGCCTCTGCGTGAGAATGGGGAGAGAATAACAAGGCCGTTCAGGGAGTGCAGAAATGCACGTTAATTAGACCACCAGTCTACACTCTTCCTCACCAGCTTAACGACCTGCAGGTCCATAAGGCAGGTGTTTGTGAGAATAGCTGTCCTTCACTGAAAGTGCGGTAAGATGAAGCTATAAATGAATGCCTTAAAAGGTCTGAATTCAGTGTGCTTAATTGTACACAGCCTGCACTAGCATTATTAGCACGAGAGTTGGATACGTCTGTTTACAAAGCAGAGACTCCAAACTATGGATTCCTTTTAAACAGGGTGGGGAAAAAAATCATTGTTTATCTTAAACAATCTTTAAAAGACTTTTGTTAATTCTTTTGTTCCAATCTTTATTAAATCTAATTGATATTCAGACCTGCTGCTCAGTCTGGACTGAAAATAAGGCTCTGTTAACGATGCAGTTTTGATTGTTGCAGCAATGTGAGGTTCTACACAGATTTTATATATATTTTTTAAAGCACTTGGCTTTAATAACACAGCATCTGGGAAGAGGCAGCTGTCACATGTCTGCTGTGGAGTAAATTCTTTTACAACACAACCGAGCAAGGTTTGATTGGCTAAATCTAGAGTTTTCATAACTGAAGACGAAGTTATTGGAGATCAGATCCTTAGGTTTAAATTTAACTTCATATGTAAGGAATCTACAACCAGTTTGAAAGTTACACTTCACCCTGTAAACACACTGTGTTAAAAGCTGGAGTACATGCAGTCATGATGTTTTTGTATTTGTTTCATTACTCTAAGGAGCCACTATTTCACAAAATAACGCTTAAACCCCCCAAAACAAACAACTTGCCATCTCAGTGTTTGAAAGACGTCCGTTAAACAAAAGAGGCAGAAAAATCCGTTTTGCCTTTTGTTTTGTTCCCTTTGTGGAGATGTTTGTTATGATGTGTCATGTGTCATGCCTAGTATACCATTTCACACAAAACGCTTAAACACTCCAGTCAATCAAAAGCCCCGTGAATGCCCCGATATTGCATACTGCTTCAAGATGATACACTATACCTCTTGAGCCTTTGTTTACCTCGCTGTACCTCATATTCAGTAAAGTAAAACATCTCAGCCAGACTCATCGATTCCTGGCCCCGTCTATGAAGAGTATAAACTGCGCTGCAGAAAGCAATAACAAGAAATTACCTCGTGAAATCTTATTTGTCTGGTTTGTTGAAAGGGGAGTAGTGGGAAGGAGACACATCGACACCTGAGGATGTTTCTGTGTGGACGCTCAGCTGGAGCGCTGTCTGGTGCGCGCTGGGAAACATTGCTGGAAAACAACCAGGGGGAAGAGAAAGTTTGTGAATTCACTGAGAGAAAAGAGACAATAAACTCAGGGAGAGTGGCTGGTCTGAAAGTTGTTTTGGAGTGCAAATATAATCCAGTCTGCACAATATAATGAACGCTCAGCATGCTGCCAATGTGCTTGATCTCAGCATTTAAGTGTTGCTCTATTGTTTTCTAATCTAATCTTCTGTAAATTAAGGACACGGCTTGTTCCAGGAGGGGGTTTTCTAATAACCCGTTAGCCTCCGCTAATCACAAGGATTAAAATAGATGAGGGGCTTCACACTCAAGCCACTGAATATCAAGCAGCAGGTATTGTGCAATAGAGGGAATCACCCACATGATAAAAAAATAAAGAAAAATGGCAGAAAAATGAATCAGGTCACTGAATGACACAGTTTTAATCCAAACTGCTCTACTTAGAAGATTTCTTGGGGACATAAAACAGAAGAGGAGGGGAAGAGGAAGGAGAAAGTCAGAGGAAGGAGGCAGAAATTGGAGGGAAATGAGGAGGGGGGAAGGAAAAGCAGAGGGGAAAATTACTAAAAAGAGGACTGTATTATATATTCTATGATCTCTGCCAACTCTAAGCTTCACAATATTCTCTTTCTCTCTGTCCCACACACACACACGAAAACATGAAGTGCAGATTAGACCCAAATTTTGTTTTCAGTGCTACAAATGTGGTGTAAAAATCAGATTTTCTGAGGATCTTCTCATTGATAGGATTGGGAGTCATGGAGAGACCTCTGCTGTTTAAGGCTGCAGTTGCATCATCTGAATCCAAGCTTGTCCTCCACGTGCTTTCATGTGTTTTACACATGAAGTACAGCGATTAAAGTTTTAGGCCCTAC